ATGCTTCCTTCCCTACTTCTCTTCCACACATCCCTCTCCTCAACCCTAGCTCCAATATCAGCTAGTTACAGTTCTCCAAGAGGCCGGGTGAGTTCAGGGCACAGAGAAGAGATGATACATAGTTGAGAAGAACAACCTGAGCAGGTCACAGGAGATCAGGATCCTGCCTCTTATTTTGTCACAGATGGATGCAGTGGCCTGCACCAAAACATGTTACACCTCTGTGCCTCTGCTTCCTGACTGCCACCAGGGTGTAAGATGCTCCCTTTTGTACCACACCCATCTTTTTAGAATCAAGGAGTCTCCAGGTTGTCTTTTACTATGTGCACACGCAGGGCACCGTGACCTCAGTGTGCTACTGCAGCACAGCTTAAAATAATGGCAATCCCATTAGGTTAGAGGAGAAAAATGTCTCTAGCAGGTCTTTGGCAATACTCCCTCGGCGCTATCGTAAATGGGAGCTCACCTGACGGCTGGGACAATTCAGCTGTCACCACAAATCCCCAAGCAATAGCTATTAACCATTCACATTGCAAAGTACTGGAAAAGGGGCTGCATTTTGACGTATTGAGTCAGCTGTACACACTGCTACAGAACGGCTTAAAACAGAGGACATTTCTACTGTTCAGGGACATAGAAGAGGGAGTTAGAATAGTTGATATTTATTTCCACTAAATGCCTGAAAATGTGGTCAACGAGGCTTGAGCTTTCCCAGCAATTCATCTAGGGTGTGGAGGCTCTCTGCTGAGTCAATGTGCCATCGGTGTCCCGCCTCTGAAAGCCAGAGCAGTCCACCCAGAGGGATTCAAGGAGGTCCCTGGTGCATGGGCTAAAGCTGTTTGAAACTGTAAAGTATCAGATGAGGTGAGCTTTGAGCAAATACAAATAAGAGATTCAATACAGGAGGCACTGCCTGAAGTCCTGAGATCTGTGCCATGGAAGAGATCAGAGCACAAAATGTAACCATCATCTGCGTGCTTGGTGTCTGTCAGCCTGTGACAGAGAGACTTACATGGAGGATGTCTGGGACATACCCTCCCAGGCCATTGCAATAACAACTTACTGGGTAAAAAAGAGAATAAGCCTCAAAATTGCCAGTTACCCTATTTTAACAAGTGAGTTCTAACTGTAACTGTATTACCCATGCAAGAAATCCAGAGACTTTACAAAAAGTGATCACAACATATGAATAACTTTGAAGACACTTATTAATTTTGGGTTTTCATATTATTTTGTTGAACAGTATAAAGTAAATATTGAACATAGTCACTTGCCATCAGAGTTTGAACAGGTGCTAGGTGCAAGGCAGACTTTAAGACTGTTTCTGATATAACTATGAAATAGTTGTGCCAAAGCAAACTACAGCCTCTTTTGACCTCGTTAGCTTTAGTTGCTCGTTAAGACTGTGCAATGCAAAATGTAAATAACGGCTGCTTACCAGAAGTAAGTCAATGTTTAGGAAAGATGAAGAGTGCTGCTGCTGTCATATAAAACTGACTGCAAAATGCTTGTTTTTTCCCTGAAGGTAGGCATGAGGATAATTTTCTTTAGAAAAATATTCCGGAAAACAAGGGGAGAAAATTCAGTGATATTCCATTTCTCTGCAATCACTGAACAGAAGAGCCAAAACCAATAGGAGTAGTTTAGTATTGCTGCTACAGTGCTGTGGCCATGTTGCAGTCTGGTCTCTAAACGATTACCAAGCATCTGAGCCACCTCGATGCCTGCCTGCCGGCACCCAGGGTCTGTGGCAAACCAACAGGAGCACCAGCTGCATCTTTCTCATGGGCATCATCTTCGTATGAATGGGAGTTATAGGAACCCGTGTGCTTCAAAAATGGCAATCAGGCCAATAAAGTGACACCAAATGTGTGCCTGTGTTTATGTACAAGTTGATATGAATACCAAATCAAGAGCATTTCTATTACGAACATGTGGAGAGTAGCTCAGATTTGTGAACAGGCAATGTTTTCTCTTTATGACCCATTGAACAACCTTGGCAACCCCCACAGGATAATGCCATGCCAACACTCAGCTTTAGGTATTGCCTTTAGACCAGGGAACAGGCAATATGGCTGATAAAAACAGGTTTCACAAGTTACAATTTTACCAAAAGCCATAGCTCTATGCCATTTCTAAATATCTCCATCCAGGTCCCTTTTGACCTTGCCATCCTGAAGAGACCTAAAATTACTGACTTAACATGCACCTATTTACTAAAAGATTCTTCCTCTTTCTAGTAATTCTTTTTAATCAAGCTGTACCCTGAAATCTGGTGTAATTTTTAAATTAACACTTAAAGATTTTATCCAATGAAAAACCCACGTGCCCAGAACAAAGCTTATGTGTATTTGAGATTCTTATATTCAAAATATGATCACTAAACTCCTTCCCCTGGCACACACACACACACATACACATAATTAAAAGGTATTTTTTCATTTCACCTCAAAGAGTCCCAGTTGTCCACAGTTCTGTACTACCACATGTCCACAGCCACCCATCCTGTGGCCTGACACCAGCAGGGCAGGGAATGGTGGAGGAAGCTTACTTATGAGCAGGAACAAGGGTCATGAAATATCATTGTACCTACTTTATTTTACTTCTGCTGTGGGCTTGGCCGGCTCCCTTCAGCCATTGCATGGACCACGCACCACCAGGGAGAGAAAATCACAGTGAACCTAAACCACAGATGAAGATGTTCTTCAGTCTATCACATCTGCACGTCCAGGGCTCTGCCCTGTTGTACAGACCCTGCCCCAGACACTAAGCATAAAGCCAGATCTGTTTGGACATGAGGTTTCCTGGTGGTGGACTTCCAGCTTCTCCAGGGATCAGCTTCTGATGGAACAACCGTGGAGCGTGAGCGTGGATCAGGATGCCAGGCTTCATCTCCTGTGATCCTGCCAACTCCTGCCTGACAGAATGACAAAGGGCACTGGGAGCCCTTTCTAGTTACTGCTGATGAAAGCAGAAATTGGGCTGCTTTAACCTGTGCAAGAGATTTGTCCACTTTTTATGAAGTTCCTGTATGGAAGTGGATGAGTAAGTGGGAATTTAAAATACAGCTTTATAGTTTAAAGGAGGTGTTTATAGTGTAACACTATGAGCATACCATGTTGTGTACCAAACAGCTTTTCCTTTTACCAGTTATGTGTCTGTGTGATGATGCTCCTGTGACTCTCAGTGAGAAGCACCTTGGTCTGAGCAGCCAATTTTCAGCCTTTGCAATTAACAGGGATTAAAATTAATTAAATGTATACAAGCAACAACAACAACAAAAAGACACCTGTGATAATTTTCTATTACTTTTAGATCACAACTCAAAATTAATCACGGATACTTTTAACATAGAAATACTATGAGTAAAGTTATCGGTGTAAACTCGATAGCAGGTTAACTGCAAAACTGAATAAACATGTATTTGTAATTCTGAAAAGACTTGAAGTACCAGCAAGAACAACACTAGTGTCAATCCAACAGGGTGACTATTTTATTGCATCCTGTGAAAAGTCTACAGTTTTAATATGTCACTTTGTTTATGAGGAATTAATATGCTTATGAGCATTCAAAGTTATACACGCTGTATGTTTTGTGTTTAACTTCATAAGACACATGGAGAGGAACTGTGGAAATCTATACAAGCTGCCTTCTGTTATCAGTTTATTCCCTGCTGAATTGAGCGCAGCTGGGGAGGTTTTGTCTCTCCTGTCTGCTGCTGAACCGGAGCTTTGATACAGCGTTTTGGCCAAGGTGGCAGTGGCCTTCCCCTGAAATATGAACGTCTCTGGAGTAATCCTAGGGTTGAGCCCTCGGCATCCCAGACATTCCCCTGCTAGAAAATGTCAGTGGCACAGACATGAAGGACCACAGATACGAAGGACCACCTTTGCAGTCTCCCAGAAGCCACATAATTCCCCTGAGAAACCTGATGAGATGACGACATGGTGCTGTCACCTTAACTGTCACACAGTCCTGCTATAGTTGTATTGCTGTTAATGTGCATGGACCCATGCAAAAATACTGTAAAGTCTGAGTATTGAAAAGCAGAAAAACTGATAACTTCACAGAGAGAAAATGTCTATCCTGGGTGGAGCATAGTGCCTTCCTTCACTTACGTGCCACAGAAAAATAAACTTCATACACCATTTCAGGTGAGCTGTCAGTGACTCAGCATTCAAACCAGTGGGTGCAAGTGAAATGTATCAATTCAGAACAATTTAACGTTATTCACTCTTTACTTGAGATTGTATCACTGAATGTTAACAGCAGTGTTTTATTCTAAAATTTTCTGCTTGAGCACGTTGAGCAAAGTAAACTCTGTATAGATGCTCAGCTTTCTGTCGTCTTTGCTCTAATGAAAGCAAATATGCATACCTGATGCAAAACGCTGTGTTTACATTAAATCAGTACAAATAAATGGCAATTTTAAGCACTATTTAATCATCACACTGAGTGCAAATATACACCTACAGCTGCACACATGAGTGACACAAGTGCAATTTGTAAACATTGTGGATGTAAAATTCCATGATGGGGAAGGTGTATCGCGTTTAAACCTCTTGGGTTGGTCTGTCCGTTTTCACACGGACTAGCCACAGTCACTCTCCTCGAAGTTACATCTTCCTGCTCAGCTGAGTAAAATCTGCGGGTAAAGCCGGGCGGATCTTCACGTAATCTCGCCATTCGTCCCATTCGTGAGCAAACTACCGAGGGCGAGTTGCCGACTCGAAAACCACAGCAGCGGCGTGTAAAGCCCGGCGACGGCTCGGCTGCCGCGGCAGCGCCCGGGGCTCGCTGAGCTGCCTGAGCGGCCGCCCCGTCCCGCCTCCTCCCCAGCCCGCAGCGACGGCGGGGGAAGCGCAAATACCCCCTTCCCCAAGAGAAGGAGGGGGCCGTGCCGCCGGGCGGGGGTGCTCCGCCAGCCTCACGCTGCGGCAGGCCCCGCTCCGCCTCGCCCGCGACACGCGTGGCGGGGGCGGCGGGGGGCGCGGGGTCTCTCAGCGCGGCACCCATCGGAAGCGGTACCCGCCGGCGGCGGTGCGGAAGGTGAAGGCGTTGCCCTGCGGGAAGGCCAGGGTGCGGATGCCGCCCGCACCCCCCAAGTCCGCCCGCAGGCTGCCGCCCCCCTCCGCGCCCCCCTCGCCCGGGCGCGGAGCGGCGCGGCCGGTGCGCAGCCCGCGGAAGGCGCCGTGCAGGGCCGGGGGCGGCCGCGGGCGCTTGGCCGTGGGGCTGCCCCCCGGGCTGCCCCCCAGGCTCCGCAGCGCAGCGCGGCACTTCTCCGAGACCTCCCGCAGCATGGCGTCCACGCCCGCCGCCTCCTCCCACGGCTCCGGCCGCCCGCGCCCGCCCCAGACCCCGGCCGGGGCGGCGGCGGCGGGAGGAGGTGGAGGTGGAGGATGAAGAGGAGGAGGAGGAAGGGCCGCCCCGTCGGCGCACTGAGGGAGCATCAGCGTCTGCCGGTGGGGAAAGAGCGCGACTTCCGCGGGCCGCCCCGCCCCGCGCATCTCCGCGCCGCCCTGCCCCACGCCGCACCGCGCTGTCCCGCACCGCTCCGTCCCGCACCGCGTGGCCCCATCCCGCACCTCACCGCCCTGCCCCACCGCGCCCCACGCTGCCCCGAGCTGTACCACGTCACCCTGCTCCATCCCGCGCTGCTTTACCCCGCACCGCACCACCCCGGCCCCCCACGCTGCCCTGACACACCCCGTCCCACCCCACCCCACCCCACCCGGTCCTGCGCCACACCGACACACACTCCATCACCCCATCCTACCTCGCACCCCCCCTTCCCCCCCACCCCACCCCGCCGCCACGGCCTTGCCTTGCCCCGCACTGCGCAGCCTCACCCTGCACCCTGTGCCCCACCGCACCCCCACACCACCCTGTGCCCCCCACTCACGTCAAGGACGGCAGCCAGCTGCCTGGCCTGGCTCGCCAGCTCCTTCAGCTGCACTTTGCTCTCCCGCAGCGTCGCCAGCTCTTCCTGCCTCTGCGTGAGGGTCTCCTGCAGCTGCGAAGGACAAGTGGGGACAGTGTGGTTGGGACAGCCCCACTGCCCAGGGGTTGGGGGATGCAGCACACCGGGGCTGTGCAGCTGCCTCAGCAAGGATGCGAGGAAGAGAAACCCAGCGCAGGCCCTTGGAGAGAGTTTGGGGGTCCCTTACCTGGCTGTTTGCCTCCAGGGCATCTCCCAGTGCTTCCTGGTGCTGGTCTGCCAGGTCCCTCCAGCACGGCTCAGGGGGAGGCAGGCCCTGTGGGGGCATCTGCTCCAGCACGCTGCTCTCTGCGTGGGGCAGGGGGCCAAAGGCCACCTCCTCGTCGAGTGAGAAATCAAAGTCAGCGCAGTCCAGTGGCGGTGGCATTAAGGTGGATGTATCTGGAGGGAATAGCCGCGGGCGTTAAGACAGAGGTGGTTCTCACATCCTCTCTTCCCCCCGACCCCAGCTCACCGTCCCAGTTCTGAGCATCCCTCCGGTATGTCCTGACATGCTTTTACCCTACTGCAGCAGCTGTGCACCTAAATCTGTTTGGATTTAATTTCTGTCTCCCATGGGAGAAAGCAAGTGCCAGCCCAGGTCTCTCTAAGGGGGGTGCGCAGGGATGCACTGCCTTACAGACTGTCCCCAGCTGGGATGACCGTGCAGTGAGTGGGCATCCAAAGACCCAAAAACAAAGCAAAAAAATAGGAGACCAAACACTGCGTGACTGCTGGTGTGCACATATGGGTGTGTTTGTCTCAGGTGAGGAGAAATATCTACTTGCCAGATATAAAATCATCGACAGCACCTCTGAACTCCTGGAGATCAAACTCCTGTCCATCCTGGAAGCAGGGACCCTGGGAGGGCTGAAGGAAACGTGCCTGTGAGCAGAGCCCAGGGCTCAGACCTGCCCACGCTGCCCACACTTCTCCAACACCGACCGCTGCCCATGCTCAGCTCCTTCCCACAGTCCTGGCCCCCCCCAGGTGCCTGTCCCCTGCCCGGCCCTTGCCACTAACCCGTCTAACGCATGGGACAAGACACTGTCCCGTAATGTGCCCATTTCACAGGTGGGAAGCGTGAGGCTAAGGAGGGCTGCCAGCACCCATCAGCCTGAGGGGGCCATGCCCTTGGGTGCCCTGTGCTGGGGGCAGCCAAGCCTGCTCCTGCTGTGGGGGGGAGTTACCTGCTGCAGGGTCACAGGGCCAGACGGAGTGGCAGGAAGGATGGGGGCACAGGCTGCCAAATCCTGCCAGTCGATGGTGGTGAGCGCTGGGGACAGAGAGAGACAGCGGTGAGAAGCCTGGGCAGGGATGGGCACAGCCAGGGGAGCGCAGCAAAGTGGGAAGTATGGCTGGGGGGGCATCCCCGAGGGGCATGACCGGAGTGGAATGCAGGGCTGGGGAGCATGGTGGGGGGCACCGAGGGGGACACAGCAGAGGGCATGGAGAAGGGGACATGGCCGGGAGGACAGGGTGGAGGGCATGTTGGGGGTGTCATGGCTGGGGAGTGCAGGGCTGGGGGGCACGAGGAGGGGGCACACGGCCAGGGGGTCAGGGGTCTCCGCCGCGGACAGACTCACCCAGGGCAGGGGCCGGTGGGGCGCCGGTGCGGCGCGGGCGGGGCGGGGGATCTCGGGGACCCTGGGCGACCGGTGGGGTCCCCGCCGCCCCCCCGCCGGGGCGGGCCGGCTTCTTGGCGATGCGGGCCGGAGGACCCTGGACCCTGTTGGGGCAGATGCTGCCGAAAGCCCGGCGGCGGCCGCCCTGCTCCATGCTACCGCCGCGGCACCGGCCCCGGCACCGGCACCGGCCCCGGCCCCGGCCCCGGCCCCGGCCCCGGCCCCGGCGGGCGCTCTCCGCCCCGCTCGGCGCCGCCCCGCGGGCAGGGGCGCCGGCAGGGCCGGGGCCAGGACGGGGGGTGCCCGCCCGCCTTCCCCCCGCCGGGGCGCGGAAACATCCCGCCGCCTCCCCGGGCCGCGCCGGCGGCTCCCGCGCCCGCGGAACCCTTCCCCGCGCCCGCGGAGCCGGGGCGGGCCGAGGGGGCTACCCCAGAGGGAAACCCGAGGAGAGGCGCTGCCCGCCCCGCTGCCGAGGCCCCTCCGCCGCGGTCGCCTCCCCGCCAGCACCTCGGCCCCCCGGGCTCCCCCCCACGCACCCCCCACGGTCCCTGCCGGGCCGTGTGTGCGCGTCATCTTGGCGGCCGGGCTGGTTTTCATGAAGATATTTATTAGGTGCTAGGGCTAGGGACCATCAGCGTTGAACGCATAAGGTGGGGGCAGGAAAGAAAAGAAACCATCCCGCGTCATCTCGACTTTTCTGAGCCGCGCACCGGGAGAGGGTCTCCCCCGCGCTGCTACGCCGAGCCCAGCCGAAACCGCCGGCGGGGCTGGCGGAGGATGAACCGGCCCTTCGCCTCGCGTGGTGGGCTCGTCGGTACTTCCTGCCGCCGCAGTTCGGACAAGTTTTGCTCTTTCTGCCTGGACACGGGATGCCAGGCAGGGCTCGGAGCGCAGCCCGGCGCGGGGCTCTCCCCTCCCCTGCTGCCCCGAAAGGCGAGCACCCCCCAGGGCGACTTAAGATACGTGTGTGCTCTTTTAACATCACTTCTGTGCACAAAGGCAGTAAAATGAAGAAAGTAAAATATTTTATATTGTTTTCTCCCTTTGAATGTTTCCCATGCTACAGAGCCAGCTTGGTTAGAAATACGCACCTGGATTACAGATCGGCTGGAAAAATAGTAACCAGCTGTTTTATTATTTAACGTTTTGTTTTCCCACAATTAGGGCAGTGCATCTAATTTTACTTTTTTTTGTTTTGTTTTGTTTTGTTTTTTTCTCCTTTCCCCCCGGCGCCATGACCAACCCAGCGTGTGTCAGTTTGAAACGGGGAATGACACCATCAGGCATCCCTACTTTGTGGGGGCTGGAGTTAACTGTTGGGGTGAACTCGTTCTGTGCCAACTGTTTCCTCTCCCAGCTGTGTACGTGCCCCGCCAGCAAACAGACGAGTACAGGTAACAAGTAGAAAAGAGTTTATTCAACGTTCATTTGGTCCTTCCACCGCTATCTTTACAGACCACCCTCCAAATAAATAATACAGTACTTGAGATTCTGTATGCTATTTACATGCTGCGTTTTAACAGACAAGGGACAGTGCAACTGACATACAGTAACATCATGTGCAAAACGTGACCTAATTTTTAAAACCCCAGTGACACTAGCGCTCGGAGGACTGGACTCCGCATCAACTCCAAGGCAGCACAAACGGGAAGCCAGCCCGGAGCCGCCTCGGCTGACCGTGGTGGCCGGGGGGTACCGGCGGCGGGTGTCCTCGCCGCTCCCGCCCCGCGGTCAGCGGCCGCCCCGCAGCCAGGGGCACTTCTGGGCCACCTCCGGGGGCAGGAGGAGCGGCAGGGACCGCCCGTTCAGCGACACCAGGAGCTGCAGCTGGTCCATGCAGTCGCGCAGGAGCCCCTCCGAGTAGCCGCTGACCCGCAGGTCCAGGGGGCTGCGGTGCTGCAGCAGCCGGTCCGCCAGCCCCAGGCTGCCGGCGGCCAGCAGGGACGGCGCGTACTTGGTGAAGGCGTAGTCGGCCAGGCTGAGCTCCGCCACCCCCCCGGCCAGGCTCCTGGCGTCCGCCGCCTCCCCCGCATCGGCCCCCCGCGCCTCCAGCCGCACCTGGCTGAAGTGCTCCAGGAAGAAGCTGACGGTGGGCGCCGACAGGTCGAAGCCCAGGCGGTGCAGGACGATGCACTCCAGGTTGCGGAGCTGCTGGCGGGTGAAGGCGCCGCAGCAGAGGGCGAGGAGCTCCTTCACGCTGGGGGGGTGCACCTCCACCTGCGAGGGAGGGGGGGCGGCAGGCGGTGGGGATGTGGCGGAGCAGCGCCGCGGGGGGGGGGGGGGGGGGGGGGGGGGGCGGGGGGGAAGGGCTGGGGACGAGCTGGCGCCGGAGCCGCTCGGGGTGGCCAAGGAGCGGCTGCGGAGACCCCGGCGGCGGGGCAGCCGGGCTCCGGGGCCGCCCTACCTGCTTGCAGGCGATGAGCAGCGCCGTCACCCCCAGGAGCTGGAAGCAGTCGGCGGCCACGGGGGTGGTGGCGAGGAAGCGGTCGAGGATGTTGACCGCCAGGCAGAGCGCCTCGAAGGAGAGCCCGAAGTGCCGGTGCACGGGGATGAGCCAGCTGACCAGCTTGCACCGCGCCTCCGCCGTCACCTGCGGCACCGGGAGCGGGGCGGTCAGGCGGGGCCGGCACCGGGCTACCCCTCCCCTCCCCGCCCCTCCGCCGCCGTGCCCGCTGCCCCCACCTGCGGCTGCCGGGCGAGCGGCTCCCGCGGCTGGAAGCGGCTCTCCAGCCCCTTGCGGGAGCGGTACCAGCTCTCCCCGTAGTCGCGGAAAGCCTGCAGCTCCTGCGGGCTCTCCCCCGCCGCCGCCGCCGCCGCCGCCGGTCGCCGCCGCCGCGCCGGTCGCCGCGGGCAGCGGCCGGGGCAGCGGCCGGGCCCCCGCCGCTGCGGGCTGCCGCCGGGGCTGCCGCCGGGGCTGCCGCCGGGGCTGCCGCCGCGCCGCCCGCTCGCCGCCGCCACCATGGCGGGGGGGCGGCCGTGCCGGCTCCGCTGCCGGGCGCGGCGGCGGCGGCGGGTATTTGAGCGGCGGGGCGGCCCCGGGGCCGTCACTGCCCGCCTCCCGGACACCCCCCCTCCCTGCCCCCCGTTGCGGGGAAGCCGGCCGGGCGATGCCGGGACCGTCGTCTCCACAACAAAATCCGCAGCCGGGCCGTAGAGGAAACGAGTTAAGAAAACGCCCGGCTCTTCCCCGGCGCTCTCCGCCGGGGGAGGCGGCGGCGGTGGGGCAGCGGCCCCCTCGCTCCGGGAGGGCAGCAGAGCCCTGAAAGCCGTCGGGACAGAGGAGGGCCAACCCCGCTGAAGTTGCCTTCCCTTTTGCCACTACTAAAATAAAGGTCGCTCCAGGTCCTAGCGTTTTGTGAGTCAGAACCCAGGGAGCTTTAACAACTACATATTGCTCCCCCCAAGCCATACTTTCACGTGAGGTCACCGGGAAATAGAGCACAAACACGGCAGGGGAGACAGTAAGCAGGCTGCGGTTCCCTGGGGGGGTTTGGGTCTCAGTTCCACTCCCATCCATGAACTACTTGGGTAACAAAGCACTATTTTAAACAGCCGAAAAGGGGGGGGAGAGGGGGGTGTAAGGGTGTCAGAATATTCCTGCACTGCCTCTACAGTTTTTAGAAGCAGAGTAGAGCCAGACATGAGTATTTTATCAGATATGACATGGTTAGATGATCCACTGATCAAGTCCACTATGGACAAGGAAAGACTTTCAGAAAGAAAAAGAAAATGTCTCCTGGGTGAAGGGATGGGGAAGATGTTGAATTACTATTTTAAATTCATGTTTCCAAAGGGTACAAAAAAAAAACCCCAAAAACTTCAACTAGAACAAAATCTAGGAAATTGTTCAGAGGCAGATTAAATTTTTACCTTCAAGAAATGTAGTTTGCAGGTTTTTACATCTAGGACTTTGCCAGGGCAGAATACATGGAATACAAAAGTGTGGTCTTAGTAACTGTTTAAATGCTTCATTAGATAAATGTTACATGCTTTGGAATTTAAAAAAAGCATTTACTGGCTTTTCAAGGAAGCCAGAACTACTACTAGTTTATCACAATGCATAAAAAGGTAAGATACAATCACTATTCCCTCAGAGTTGTTAGCAAAGAACTATTAGGAGAATCACCATGATCATCATTTGAGGGTATATGCAGGACTGCAAAGCTTAACCTCAGAAAGGAACAGCAAAACTTGCAGCAGCAGGGAAAGACAAGGATCAGGGTGAAGAGGGAGGAACAAGTGTGAGAAAAGGCAGAGGATGGGGAAGGGCTCCTGGTCAGTACAGGTGTCTAGCTGAGCACCCGTTCACAGCAGTCTGTACTATCTTATTGTAAAGCATCTTCTTAATATAAACCACACAGAAAAAAGAAATGAAGACGTCTGTAAGATACATTGCTTTAATACTTTAATCTTGTAGATCAAAAAAAAATACCATTTGGGAAATCCACATAAGAAACATTTGTCTTCTGTTTGCACACATCTAATGGAATTCTACTCAACTGAGATTCAGGACCCAATCTTTAATTATTACTACAGTCTGCACCACCAGTGATGGTAAGATTAGTACATTAAAAGAGGAACTGGCCACAGCAATTTTTATACCAAAAAGAAACTGCTTCCATCCATCATTTGTACAGACAGACAGATGGCACCAAATGTATTGTAAAAGGTAAACATAATCAGTGTTCAACTTCAAAATTCATATAGAGAAAAGTAAATTCTATGTAAAATCATGCAGTCTTTCCACATCACGGCTGGTATGAACCACACCAAGCATTTCAATACTTTCAGTCAATGCTGGAGTGCATACTTCTCCTGCTATTACTGAAGTTCTGATTTGTTACTGATTTCTGGTTTCAGTTACCATTCTCTGTTTTTATTAGTTCTTTGATGATGTGTAACACCTTGTCATCTAGGAAGGGAAACAGAGAGTAGAAAAGAGTTAGGTTAAAAATTGATTCCCCAAACTCAAGAAAATCAGAAGTCTAGCTCTCAGTCTGGTTAGCCTAAAACATTAAGATTTTAAGGTGCTAACGCGATACAAGTGATTCCCATTTGTGAAGGAAAAGGGCAAACAGTATTTTCATATTACATCATTAGAAAGTTTATAAAGTTATTCAGTGAGCTGATTGTGGCCATTTCAGTATTTCACAAAAGACTAAGTGATGGGCCAACTACAGATACATTAGCATACAGGAGCTCCCTTTCTTCCTCCCAACATTCTTCTGAACATCCAGTGTTCAAAGTTTAAATTGTGCTCCTCTATTCCTTTGGAAGCCAACATGCATTTCCCCATCACTAACCTGAATTGTGGCACAACCTGGATAACACTTAAAATTCATCCATGCCTAAGGCTCACCACACACAATCTTACTTCTGTTTTGAGATGCATACCTCACCATTACTACCACTACCTTGAATGTTACCAGGGATGTCTTTAAAACAGTAGTTGTACAGATCTTCATACATCTGGGGTAAACCACACAATGCACATAGGATTAGTTATGACTTTTTGGGTATCTCTCAAGATAATGGAATGATACTCATGTCACACTAACCCTATTGGGTGAGGATGCAGTGTACTAATGTTTCCTCAGATTTACCACAAGGTCCATTTAACAAACAGTAAGTGGCAGCAATGCAGTAAAAGTTACCTTCAAGTGACATTTTAGGATTTTCAAGCTTCTTCTTTAAAACAGACTCAATGAGAAATCTCAGCTTTTTGAAAATTACTGCTATCTTTACAGGAGCCTATAAAGAACAGAGAAAATAAACGTTTGCATTACTCAGACATTTTATACCAATATATAGATTAAAAGATTACCTTACATATAAATGGAATTTTAAACACGATTCCTGCAAACATGATGCATCTACATAGTTTTAAGTATCTGGCTAGTGTACTCATGAAATGACTAGGCTTACACTATGGCCTCATCTTTAAGCACCTAGTTTTTGTAGCATCACAGCATAAAGAACAGCAGCTCAGAAGAGTAACTCAGATTATGTTCCCACACATATCATGAACCACTAGCATATGGCAAAATTATCAACTTACCAATTTCCTACTTACTCTAATGGATTTTTTCCATAGTATAAAAGTAAAAATTAACTTATACCTGGAAAAAAAAAAAATCTACACATCTCCCTCTTGGGAGGTCTGCTTCGCCTCCTGAGAAAGCAATCACAAACCTCTCCTAAATCCTGCTAGGGATTTGGATATCCAAAGCTGAAGCCTTTTTCAGGAATCTTTCATTTTATCCCTCCTTCCCGATTCCAGTCTTTATTTTATTTATATACTGCACAAGTAGCTATTATGCAAACAGCACAAAATACAACATTCTTAGCATCTCAGTAGAAAACCAGACATTCTGAAACACTAAAGTTGTAATCGGACCAGCAATCACACAACTTGTAGCCACCCAGGGATCATAAAAAAATTCTACAAAGCAGCCACAAAAGAGCTGCTTTTTAAAAATGCCATATCCATGATAACCACTGAATTCAATTAGATGATTCCTTGCTTGCACCAGAAGAGTGCTAAAAACTAAAATGTTTTGTAGTGTATAGTCTTCCCTGAGTGTAACACAGGGCCCACAGGAGCCCAGAAAATTATAATCAAACAGCTGGTAGGCTAGCAAAAGCCAATGTTTGCCATTTAACAGAATTTACAGAGTATTTTGGCACGTCACCTGTTTTAATTTTTTGTCTACAAAAATACACTAGGAAAATGCACTTAGTTTTCCCATTCCCAAGTAAAACTTTTTCACCTGGAAAGAAAAAACCCTGAACAAAGAACAAAGCAGCCCAAACCCAAGTGAACAGGTGTTTTCCATCTAGGTTTCTTCTTCCTTTAACAAATAATTCTGTCTGGGCTATAATGCAAAATAAGTAGTATTTTATATATAAAATATGGATTTATATGATAAGACTGTAGCAAAGGGTAATGTAAAATAGCACTCATCTGCTTTCAGTACCAGCTCTATAAAACAAGGTTTAGTCTATATCCACTTCCAACACCTTTCCTGAAAGAACACTGACTTCTTTCAATGGAGAAGGAGCTGAGTTGTTACAACCCACATATCACAACCCTATTACTTTGCATGTGATTTGCTAAGATTTCATTACATGTATATAAAATTTGACATAATTTCCTTTAATTCTCTCCTTCCTTCTTCCCTCTTGTCTTCATTCCATGTATATAGCATTCTGAATTAAGCTTGTACATCAACTGTGTAATACAAAAGCCCATGGAAGACAAAAGGTAGTTATTACTCCAGTGCACCTGAAAATGGATCCAGCCATCAACTGTCAGGAGACGCTCCCGATGCTGGACTTCTATATCTCCACCAAAAAGCAAAATGGGGAAGGGGGATATTAAAGTAGTTTCTCTCAAATATACTTTAGTGTACCTCACCTACACATAAAGAAACACAAGTATTAAAAACACCAACAAAAAAACCCCAAACCACATAAAATCTGTAACACTAAATTTGATGGCTACTTTTAAAAGCAAAAAATACACTTCCTTTTAAGATCTAATCAACACAACTCACTGTACATAGAACAACTGATGGCAATTTGTCTTCCCTAGACCACATAAAATACACCACTTCTAAGTGACCGGGCTTATACACTACCAGGAAATTTGCTGAAGTCACAATTTTCTTGTCAAAATTCAAACAGTGATAGTGTTAGCCTATGGCTGTTCAGAGAAGATACATCAAAATTAATAAACCTACTGAAGTGAAACACGGGTAAATCTCTTCTGCTACACATTCTTCTTAGCAGCAGCTGGT